AGAGGCAGAGGTAAAGACAGCAAATGACTCGGTCGTAGGCGACACACAAAACACTATCTGCTGGCTCGGGCTTTAGCTTTGGCTTTGGCTTTGACTTTGACTTTGAGTTTGGCTTTGACTTTGGCCTAGGGCTTATAGCCCCGGTGACTGGGAAGTCTTCTGCTTCTTCTCGTTCTTCTGTAATTATAGCGAGCAGCTCATACTTAAACTCTGTCTCGCCACTTGATGTCAGCTGTGCTTTGGATTCTTAGTTTTCGGCTCTCCCCGGGGTCTTTGGCTGGGCGTCGGTCAAGTGCAGAATCGGGCATTTTGCACGGCACTTTAGCTTTCAGCTATCAGTCATTCAGTCATTCCATCATTCAGTTAGTCATGGCTAACAGCAATAACAACAACAGCAGAAAAAGGTTCTTGAACTCACCCGCACCCGCACCCGTACCCGCACCCGCATTTCTATTCGCTTTCATAGTCACACTGAATGTCTGCTTAAATGCCGAGATGTTGGCAGTGGCATTTCAATTTCGCAAATAGACTCGCCACTAACTAAGTGTGCGTGTGTTTATGTGTGGGTGTGGGGTGTGTGTGTGATGACCGTAGTCGTGGAAAATAGACCTAAGACCATCTGTTAGGCTAACACTTGGTAAGAACATAGCCAACGCGCAAGCCACTCCCCCTCTTGCGTTCTCCAATTTAAACGGTAAATGTGCTTATAAAAGGGAACTTCCGTCTTTGAATTACATTGCTGATTTCCTGCACTCTGTATTCTAATAGCCATATTAGTGGCATTAACTGGCATTCACGCTGCTCTACATCAAATTGAGCCGAGGAACTGTAGGGCACGTGAGTGTCCCCACGGAAGATCATGTTCAGTTGATAAGTAGGTTGGGGGTTGAGTATGTGGAATAACAGTTGAAGCAACAAATTAGTTGAAAATAATCTTCATTCAGCGCGATTTTCGTGTTTTGACTGTGCTGTAGTTGTTGTTGTTTTGCTTGTTCCTGTTCATGGCTTTGTTATTTTGCTGCCAGTTGGCTATTGGCTATTGCCTTTTGCCTTTGGAGTTTTGCCAGTTGGTCGTGATTTTTTTGCCGCAGTTCGCCAGAAACGTTGAATTGGCTTCACCTTTTGACATGGAATTCGAAATGACGTGAATCACACAAAGAGGAACTCAAAACTCCGCTGCTTTTGTTGTTGTTGTTGCTGTTATTGTTGTTGTTGTTGTTGT